TACACTTGAAACAAAATATGACTTCACATTATATTTTTTCAAGCACAAAACTCTCGAAGTTACGTAACAACTAATCAGAAATTAGATAAATCCATGGAAGTTTAGACAACACAATATGCACAGAAAATTGTTATCTACACCGTAAACATACATTCACAAAAACATAAGATGAGTCGAAATATAATACCTAAAGATTAAATAAATTATATCGGAAAATTCAAAGTATATAAATGAAGTGTTTTAACTGCACGATACCATTCTAATTTCGAGAGCAACAAGAACATAAACAATACTGCAGCATCATTAAGATCTCTTTGCCCGTTGAGGAAAAAGTGAAATGGCACGCAAAAATATTTTTACAGATATTTGCACACAGATACACACACACAGATCGTATTTTATTCTCGAGTGTCAAGATGTAGAAACATCTTTTTACTCGACTTCTGATAATGATCGGGTGGGGGGAGAAAGATTAGGGGGAAAGGAGTGTGGGAGGCGGCGAAAAAAGGGGGGGTCAAGTTCAGTGTCGTTAAATGATGTAGCCGCGGGTGGTAAAACCGCAGAGTCAGTTCAGCGTGAATGAGTCCAATTAAGGTTGTAATTCTATGTGGGTAGGATGCCAAACTTGGGTACCGATGTTTTTCACCGGGATGCGGAGAGTGTCTGAGAGTGCTAATAATGCTATTACTGTGGGTTTGTACTGAATAAAAGAAGCTGACCGCTAATCGTTTAATATACTCTTGAATATGTTCGATTTGAAAGTCTCTGTGAATGTAGATGTTTGGAATATACCAAGGAGCATTGATAGCTTCTCGTAGAATATTATTTTGCAGAATTTGTAATTGTTTAATATTGGTTTTAGCTGCATGTCCCCAGATTGGAGCTGCATAAAGGAGGCTGGGACGAGTATGGAGCGATATGTAATAATTTGTTTGTAGTAGATAAGTTGCTTTTTCTACCAAGAAGAGGTCGCATAGTAGCTGTGGTGATTTTAAAATTTTTGTATACGGACCGGAAGTGGGTTCTGAACGTAAGTTTTTGATCAAGGGTGACTCCAATGTATTTGGTTTCATTAATCCAGTCTATTTCTTCGTCAAATATTTCAGGGGGGAGGATAGTATTTCATGTTTCCTTTACGGAAAATTATTGCCTTATTTTTTATCAGTGTTAATTTTTAATCCTCCAAAGGTTGAGCCATTTTTCCAGTTTTATGAGATAGTTTTGGAGTTGGTTTCTTACGGCGATAACTTGTGCAGGCTTTAGTAAGTATGGCGGTGTCATCGGCAAAGAGTGCAAGATGAACAGAAGGGTCTTTAGGGATGTCTTGTGTATAAATATTAAAAAGGTACGGCGAAAGTGCCGACCCCTGTGGAACACCAGCATTGATTACTCTGGTGGTAGAGTAAGCAGTACCGATTTTGATTCTGAATGTTCTATTGCTGAGAAAAGAGGCTATTAAGCGAATAAAATGATCTGGAAAATTGAGAGTGATTAGTTTGTAAAGAAGGCCTCGATGCCATACCCTATCAAAAGCTTTCGCGATATCGTGGAATATAGCACCGGTCGGAAGCTTGCACTTATAGCCTTCAGTGATAATGTTGATAACTCTAAGAAGTTGGTGGCAAGTGCTATGGTGATTACGAAAACCGAATTGTTCTTCTGGGAGAAAATTCATGGAAGGGTGAATTTTTTGGATTTGGAAAAGTAAGATTTTCTCTAACTTTAGACAGTTGGCTAAGTAAACTGATAGGACGATAGTTCTGTGGGAGAGTTGGATTTTGTTGCGGTTTAGCAAAAACAATTATTATAGCTTGCTTCCATGTGTTAGGAAAATGAGCGAATTTGATAATGTTGTTGATTATCTTAGTTAGGCAGGTAAGAGCGTTGATCGGAAGATGCTTCAGTGCTTTGGTCGAGATTCCATCGTGTCCTGGGGCTTTCTTCGTTTGTAAGGCGCTGATGGTGTTGGCAACGATTTTTGGGGTAGTCAGGGAAGTGAAGTTGTACGGAGCAGGGGTGTTAAGGAAATTATTGACCACCTGGTTGACCCGTTCAATATGGTTATTGTCGTACGGAGGGGGATTAAGAGTGAATGTATCTTCCATATAGTCCGCAAAAGATTTAGCTTTATCTTCTGCTGTATATGAAATTCTACTAGGTCCATAGATAGGTGGAATAGGTTTATAAGGTTTCTTGAATTTGCGGGAAATGTCAAATAGGGAATTGTCCTCTATAGCTAGGTTATTTTGGAAATTGGTCCATTTTTGGGTTTTTGAAGTTCTTGATTCTTCTGTTGATTTTCTTTTTCATAGAAGTTTAGTTCGTGTTTGAGTTGTGGATCCCTGGTGGTTTGCCATCTTTTACGGATCCGGTTTTTTTTCTTTAATACTATTTCTTATATCGGCAGGCAGGGGGAGGAAAGGCTTGTTCACATAAAAAGTATTGGTGGCTTCCTTTAAAGCAGAATTGATGCTGTTGGTAAATTTTGAGACTTCTTGTTCTAAATCTTCTTTGTTGTTGATGCATGCGTTACCTTGTATCGAGTTATTCAGAATTATTTGATCCAATTTGTAACTCCTATACTTCTGTTAAGTGAGGGGAGGTATTTATTAATGGGGATTTCAAATACAATGGGGTTGGGGTCAGACAAATTACATCAATATGATGAAAACCTATACTAGAGCTACTAGGAGCCTTAAACTATATCTTTCTTCTTTTCTAAGCATACAATAAGTATCTCCTTATAAGAAATTTAGGCATTTTGATAAATTATAAAAATTTGTCTAATTATGATTAAGCATGATATAAATGTTATTTACCTTTGGAGGTTAAAATAGGCTTGGATTCTTTATTCCCAAGGATTCATTTTCGCGCCTCACACTTCTGTACCCACTATTGCAGCCAGGGACGAAACAAGTTCTATTGGTTGTCCATCATGAATATGATGAAAACATATCACATCAACGTTTCGGATACTTCTCTAATACCAAGGTAAATTCATATTTATATCTTAGAAAACCAAAGTAGAAAACACCACTGCAAGTTAACTAGAGATTGGCTACAAAGTCTTCTGTAAATAAAGCGATGAAAAATGGAGTCTGCGAAAAGTTTTTGAATTAATTTCCGTGCGTTTTATATTTTTAAGCTGTCCACATAGATATAACTATGCTTATAGAATACATTGGTATACATAGATATGGTAAAATTAGAATGCATTACTATTAGTAATAGCAATCTGATAGTATTACTAATCTGCGCGCTTCATTGAGCTTTGGTAAAGCTTGGACTGTCAAAAATTAAGTTCTAGTTGGCAACACTAAATTCATGTCCAAAACATGAAGTGAAGTGAATTAAGAGTGTGTGTTTTGATTACTGTGTCTTTCTCGGGTCTCTCTCCGGGATTTTTGTTTTTACCTTGTTTATTTTAGTAAATATGGCTAATCGGACTGTAAAAGATGCACAGTCTGTAAGAGGCACGAATCCCCAGTATCTAATTGAAAAAATTATTCGCTCTCGTATTTATGACGCGAGATACTGGAAAGAAGAATGTTTTGCTCTGTCTGCGGAATTGTTAGTAGATAAAGCAATGGAATTAAAATGCGTTGGTGGAGTGTATGGTGGCAATATAAAACCCACTCCATTTCTCTGCCTTGTTCTCAAAATGCTTCAGATTCAACCGGAGAAAGATATAGTTATCGAATTCATTCGTCAGGAAGATTTTAAATATGTTCGTGCATTAGGGGCATTCTATATGCGATTAGTAGGAACTTCTTTGGATTGTTATAAATATCTGGAACCACTGTATAACGATTATCGTAAATTACGGAAGCAAAATCGTCAAGGGCATTTTGAAGTTGTGCATATGGACGAGTTCATAGATGAGCTTTTGCATGAAGAAAGACTGTGTGATGTCATACTTCCGCGTATTCAAAAGAGACATGTTTTAGAAGCTAACAATGAGTTAGAACCCAGAATCAGTGCTCTAGAAGATGATTTAGACGAACCAGAATCAGAAGAAGAAGATCTTAAAGAAAATATATCTAATGCTGTTCATGAGAAACCACGCTCGAAAACAACTGAATCATCTAGGAAAGATAAGTCGTCCGAATCACGTCGAAGGCACAGTCCATCACCACACAGGCATCGTTCCAGGCATCAAGAAAGAGAGAGCAGAAGGCATCATCGTAGTAGGTCCCGAGAAAAACACCACTCTAAAAGAGATACTGAAAGGAGACATCGTTCAAGGTCTCCTCGGAAAAAACGTGATTATGACAGAAAAACAAGTCATTATAGTAAGCATTAACTTTACATATGCAGCATTAACTTTACATATGTCATGTATTGTGCTGATTACTTACATTTGACTTTTGTATATCTTTTGATTCATTAAAAAGTAAATTCCACTTCATGCATTATTTACTGTGAGAATCAATGGCATCGGAGGATATTATTTTTTAATAACAAGTCTGTTATTTTGGCTGTTACAATGAAAATTTTATGAAGTGAAATTGATAATCTCTTTTAAAGTCTATATAGATAAAATGTTATTCAGGTTAATATTTTTGTATCCCAGTTCTGCCAATTTGTATCAAATGCATAATGGATCAGATTCACTGTATATCAGGAGACAGAAAAGACCTTTTCTGATTTCCTAAGTTTTATTGTTCATCAGAAAATATTACTTTTCCATTATGCACCTGCCATGTTTATTGGTGTGTGTGAAATAGAAGCCAATCACAGATGTTGGATCTCGCTGTGTCTTTCATGTGAGCTAAAAAGCATGGCAGTTGCATAATAGGATAGCATCTAGAAAATATTTGATTTTCACCATAGTGAAATTAGATACTCATAGTTATTAATTACCAATATGAATGTTAAAAGCATTGCACCTGTACTAGGTGAAAATAAAACATTGAAATTTCCATGATACTCATGCTTACATTGACTGAACTGTGCACAATATGCAATGCTATAACAATAGTAACAAAGAAATCTCTGAATAATGCAAACCTAGCTGATTTGATAGTATAATGCTTGTTAAAAATTTCACCTTTGTGATATATATTATATAAGCATAATCCGCATCTAATTTTGACATCAGTTATTAAAATAGGAGTATCAGTATAGCAATATATAATTCTTGTCTCCATGATTACTATAATAGGAACATTTTTTTAAACATACATGGCAATGTTATAACCTAAATAACTTTTCTTTGACATGTGACATATTCTTATTTAGTGACTATTGAATCTGGGTGTTTGTAGATGATATAACTTCATATATCTTGAAGGCCAGGGATATTGTAACCTGCCTTTTCAAATTCAAATTGTTTATCTAAAAGCAGACATAAGTTTGTTTTGTTTGCAATGTGAAATGTGAGTTAATTTTCTTCGTAAAAGTGTTTTGGTGAATCTTTAGAATATGGTAACAGGTAGTTTGGCGACATTTTGGTAAGGCGATAAAGGTTACTAGGTAGGACTTTAGCAATAATCTGAGAACTACACAGTTCGAATCACAGATTATTTTGTCTCAGAGAAATGAGAGATCATGAGACATGTCATGTTACATTTTCCGGAAAATTCCGATCGTGATTTTAGCTAATAAGCACTTAGAAACAATTTCGCTGCTAAAGTGCAGAATCGCCCACTTATTTGTTTGGCGCTTTTTACAAGAGTAAGAAGAATTGGATTTTGTCATTATCTTTGACATTTTAAGTGAAAATAGGTCGATGTGTACATAGATAAAGTCAAGAGTGTGCACAATGCCATTTTTGTGCAATTCTGGGTGTTTTTTAAGTGAAAGTAGGTCGACGTGTACATGGATACCGTGTATGTGCGATTCTTAAAAAACGCGGGAAAAGCGGTTTGCGATTCTGCACTTTTCTCCAATTTCGCACTAATCTCATCATGATTAAGCATTTATGTTCCATAAAAGTTCTAGTATAAACGTAATTCGGCTAGCAGATTGCTGGAAAAAATGTTGAGTTAAAAAAAAAAAAATGCTTTTACTTCGTGAAAACAAAATGGCGTCCAAAACAAAACTAGCAGGTTGCTGTAGCAGGGTTGGTCGCCAAAAAATCACCATGTTACCATAATGTAAAGATTCACCAAGTTTTTAATTATTCACACAGAATGAAATACCCTTTGAAGATACTCTCATATTAATGAGTAAGTATTATATGTTACATAAAGAAAAATTCTGTTTATTCTGAAATGAAGCTTGACAGTGCTGTGTTATATGAAACTGCCTAAGCAAAAACATATTTTCATTTCAGATTATTTTTTGCTGCTATTTTGATTATTTTTTGGTACCAGGAAGATTAAATTAAAGTCTTTTATGGACAAATTTTGATGCAAAACAAAATATTCATAGTAAATATGGGCAGTTGCAGAATTATGATGTTGGGCGTCCATTTCACTTTAACTTTTGGGGATCCTCATATTAAAATAAAACGAAGTTTAGTATTTTTTTAATTAATTATTTGGAGCTACTTGGAATGTGGGGCCCTTCATTATTATGAATTGCACTGTCGCTAAATCCACCTTTGCATGTGGAAAGAAGTCATGAAAACACAGTAGCCAAACAATTCAGTTGCCAATAATTCAATCTGGGATGAATTGCCAACTATTTGGCATATGGAATTGCTATTATATTAGCATGATTGAAGTGCTTACCTAGTCTAGAAATTTCAGTACAAAATTTAAGGAAAATTCGTGTATTATAATTACTATGTTAAAAAAGAAAGACTATGTCTTTGATGTCGGTGAATAAGATATCATCATAGGTTAATGTATTATGATTATTTGTATTGTATAGTATTTTAATGCAAACAGTTAAGTCATTGACTCTGAATTAATTTTTATTTTCTTCGTTTATTTCACATAACAAATATTTTTATTTTCTTCGTTTATTTCACATAACAAATATGTTCATTATTTTATATAATAATATAAAATAATGAAGGAAATATACAGCTTTACTCTCTTATTTTTTAATTTAGCCCTAAGAAAATCTAAGTAATTTCTCATAATTCATATATAGGACATGTGTAAGAAAAATGTTTCAGTATAATACTTGTATTCTTGAAAAAAACTCATAAAAATATCATCATTTTTATTATTATTGAAATAAAAAAGGCGAATCAAAGAAACAACTCTGAAACATAAGAATGACAATACAATCTCTGTGCCCACAAAGTCTAAAAGGAATTATAAATCAAAACTAAGGACTTTCATTAACAGATATCTAGAACAAAAGAGAGAATGTAATTCCCAACACTGTTTGTTCTTGGCATAGGGAGAATACAGTTTCTCAAATGGTCTGTGACCTTGGAATGCTAAAGGTCACTGTGCCCAAGTGATTTTTATAGTCCCCCCTTTACCAATGGTAGTCACTTACCTTTTTGATGTTAGCCACTTCTAAGGCTGGAAGTGGTGACCATGTTATTGTGGAGGCACCTAATAGGCAGCCACTATTGCCTCCTATGAAGGGACGAACAGTTACAACCAGTGCAAGATTTATGTACAAGCTACACAAAGTATAGCTTAGGGCCCCCTCTTTCTTGGGGTCCTCCAAAAAAGGTATCCAAAAATCATATTTGGCACTGACATATAATATCTGGACTTATAAAGGGCCCCATATCACAAATAGCTTAGGGCCTTATCAAGTCTAAATCTGGCACTAGTTACAACCATGCCTGCTCTGGGATTTGAACTTGGGCCCTTCAGTATCATAGTCGGCTCTCCTAATCACTACACCATCCGGGTAGCACTTTTTTATAGTATTCTTGCATATATAATTAAATGTTACTTTTGATAATATTAAGCAGAACTCTTAAAATTTAAAAATAAGTGCAACTTTAGTAATAATGATCATATTTACGTATTTAAATTAAAAACTTAACTGTCCAAATATTACCATATTTATATTCCAAATTTTAAGCTGTTTGCACAGTGTGAAAAATTTCTAAATTCTGATTGCACATTGTAAGCATCCCATGTTTTACATTTGTAAATATAATAGTAGATAATACTCATAGCAATAAGCTTGGAACTCAAAACATTCCATTGGTTAAGCTTCAGAGTATTCTGATATCATTTATGTGCATTTAAAATTTTGGTACTATTCTACTAGAGCGGCATCAGTTAAAAATGAAGATAAAATAAGAAGAAAACAATGCTACAACATCATGCCAAATATCGAGACTTGAGAATTTATTGTTTGAAATATTGTCGCTCGAGATTTCCAGTTTTTTTTTTAAATATTGTAACACGTTATTTTTTTTTTGCCGTATTTCGCCATTTTTTTAGTACAATGGACTACACAATTTGGAAATTACCTAATGTCGAAGGGGCTGCCATAAATACTTTCAGGATAAAGAAATAATTCATGGTAATTGACTTTGTTCTCAAAATAATTCGATGAATTTAACTTTTGACTCAAATAAAGCTCCTATATGGCATTATTATGCATGTTCTTGCTGTGAAAAAAAAAAAAAAAGGATGGTGAACCAAAACATGATTTGAAGGCTTGGGTCTTTTTTTTTCTTAATGCCGTTCGTTTTATCTATCTGTGCTGTTAGGAACTGAATTTTGCCAACTTCAGTTAGGAAAAACTCTGATAAGTGGCACTTGGCGCAATTTTTTTTTTTTTTTTTTTTGCCATCTTGAATTGCGAAAAAATGCCATATCCTTGGGGGGAATTTTTTGACTTCAAGAAGGAAATGTCATCAAATGCGCTTTCCAAAAATTTCCTCTTCGGCCCATGGCTGGGGAACAATTCTTCTGGGCAAAAATCGCGTAAGGCAAAGTGTAGTGTTTGCATTGAGATGGTAAACCATACACATAGTCAAATTGTAAGCGATAAGTTGTTGTTGTGATTAAGTAAATCTACACGCTTTTTTCCATCTTAGTATTTTAATTATGATTTATATATATCAACTCCAGCATTATTAACTTTTATATTCTCTTTTTTAATTCTTACCATTAATTTAACAATTACTTATACTGGTTATATATGTTTGAAAGCGTGTTCTTTATATATGCAGTAATGATCGAAAATGTGATATATCAATAGTTAATTAATGAGGAATTTAAAAAATAAAATATCATGTATTTCCACAATAATATTGCATCTCGAAATGATTCCAAGCTATTGAATCATCCATCAGGTATATATTTACATTCCGGATTCTTTAATGCACATAATTTTAATAATAAGTTAAGGGTTATTTTTATTCTTTTTTTCTTGTTTAATGCGAAATAGTTTCCATGTAGTATGAAGAATGTAATCGAAATGCATACTGCAGGAAACAAGATTTAACAAGGCTTCTATGACTTTCACGCATTATGCAATTGTTTAAATTTCAGAAGAGACCAATCAATAGAATAGATAAGGTTATTTGAATTTGTCCATGCAAGTTAAATCCTAAATATTATTTTGTGCAATTTAACATGTCTTAACGTGTTTCAACTGGCAGCCCCGAAGCAGTTTTACGTGGTTGGCGATGTATTTTAAATTATGATGTTTGCAAATACAGTGATGCAAGATTTCTATGTTTTACTTATTTGAGTTTCATTTATTTTACATTAACTATTAAATATGAACTGAGTAACACTCAAACTTTTAAATAAATCTTATTCAACATTTGAAGATACAAATTAATGAACTTTATTCTTTTTTTTTTTTTTTGTTTTTTTTTTTTTTTTTTTGTGTTTGTGTGTGTGTGTGTGAAAAAAGAAATGTTATGTTTTGGCTAACGGTTAGATTTTTTACTGATATACTAACCACAAATCCCTATATAAGAAATCAGTAAAATATGCTTGATGTAGAAAAACAGCACTTAAAAACAAATGTAGAATAATGTTTGTTTAATATTTTATACTAACTTATTAGCATTTTAAAGTCTGATTATCATTTTATTGCAT